GCGAAACGTCAGGAGAAATGCCTCTAGAACATGGCCCTATAGCCCGAAAAAACCTACAAGAACCTAATGAAAATATGGTTGGGGGTCACCACAACATGAGGAACTTAATTTAGGGGTCACAGCATTAGAAAGGTTGAGAGCCATTGCATGTTTTCAAACTGCTAGGTTGGCAGAAGCTGGGGCTGAACTATTAGGACCATATTTATGTAGTGTGAATGGGTCATAGAATCAGAGTCCAACCCCCTGCCAAGAAGCAGGAATATTGCATTCAAATCACCCCTGACAGATGGCCATCCAGCCTCTGTTTAAAAGCTTCCAAAGAAGGAGCCTCCACCACACTCCAGGGCAGAGAGTTCCACTGCTGAACGGCTCTCACAGTCAGGAAGTTCTTCCTCATGTTCCAATGGAATGGGTCCTTATAGTTTATTTCTCTGACCATGGAAGGAAAAGCTATCTGAAGCTACGTACTTGCAAAGCTTTGAACTGGATTATATGAGTCTACACTACCACATAATCCAGTTCAGAGCAGATAATGTAGAGCAGTGTAGAAGAAGCCACAGTTTGCTGCTCTCTGTTCAGCCCAGGATAAATTCAGGATGTTGCTATACAAAATTAAAACTTCTTAAATTTCAAAATGAGGCATCATTTTATGCTATGAGAGGAGTAAAAAGGTAAGCAAAGTTTGGATAAAAAGTAAGCATTGCTCATATTTTGTTCTCCTTGACTTACATTTTGAGAAGTTACGATAAATGCAGAAGTAAAGAGTAATATTAACAAAGGACTAATTACTCCTCGAGCTACCTGATGACCTATAGGTGCTGGCTTGTGAGGTAGTAAATTAATAGTAAGTCATGGGGGGAAAAGCGAGTTAAAATACATTTACCGTCAACAGTGCCGTGGTTTAGTTTTATGCCTAATGTCCCTAGAGACCACAGTGGTGATATATATAATAACTTCTCAAATTAAAAAAGGCCCAGTGTCATAAATAAAGAAAATGGTTCTTTTGCCAGTTGGTATTTCTATCCTTAGGGGATCTGAGAACCTTGAACAAATGCAACAGAGTCAGTCTCTATTAATTTGGTCTCAGGAAAGTGGTATTGGGAAAAGCTGGACCTTCTACTGAATTACATACCTTTAAAGCAGGCATGGGCAAACTTCAGCCCTCCAAATTTTGGACTTCAACTCCCACAATTCTGGCTGTTAGGAATTGTGGGAATTGAAGTCCAAAACACCTGGAGGGCAAAGTTTGTCCATGTCTGATTTAAATGACTGATCTTACCTTTCTGACAACCCAGTTGTTTTTCTTCAATCCTGCTGTAACCTGGGATTGCAATGTCGACAATCCATACTTTGTTTTTTATCACGATCGTGAGGTCAGGAGTGTTGTGCTCCAAAACTGTCTGAATTTGGAAGTCCCAGAGTAGCTTGACGTGTTCATTCTCTGTAACTTTTTCCAGCTTGTGATCCCATCAGTTCTTTGTCACAGGCAGATGGTATTGGTAGCCAATGAATCATCTGAGCAACAGTTTTATGCCTCTGCTTGTAGTCTGTCTGCGCGATCTTCTTGCAGCAGCTGAGGATGTGATCTATTGTTTCATCTGCTTCCTTGCAGAGTCTGCATTTGGGATCTGTTGTCAACTTTTC